TCAAGACAACCAATTCACTTTCAAAATACAATAATTCTCAACAAAACAACCTAGGCCTAATGGCCAACTCCATTTAATCCAATTTCTTCAACCATTTTAGTCATTAAACTAGATCACCATTTATGCACTAAGGCATCACTCATTGGTTATACCACATTTTCACATCATTTTCCTTATTTCCTTCAATATGGTTGAAATCTCACACGCACCACACATCCAACATTCCTCCTTTCAATTTCACTACATCAAACCAACCTACCATTCATTTAAACACCAATCACGATCATATAAAATCAACTATATCATTTTTACATCATCTAACCATGTATCAACCATTGATTAAAGCCGTTTTTCACTTCAATTCTTCCTTCCCACTACATGGTTCGAAAATTACAAGGAACCATCCAACAAGGTTCTCAATCCAATTCCACACTTATACTCATCATATAATCCTATTATTTACATATACCAACAGTCCATGATTCAATTATTCAATTACACCACACATTAATTTCACAAAGTCTTGAAAACTCAACACAAAATTTGCCTAAGTTAAAATTCCCACATCACCATAAATTTTATTGTATCAATCATCATACTTTGTTATTCTAAGCCTTTAATTACAAAGGAGACATATCATTTGAAGTTCCTAACTATCATCACTCAACATACAACTTCAAAACCCTCATCAATATTATGATCTCACCAAAAACCAAGTGAGGGTGAGAAACATTACCACCAATAGCTTGCAAGTGGTCCAAGGAGTGATAATCAAGCCTCCACTCAAGCCAAAGCACCATCAATGGCCCTCAAAATCCAAAAAACCGCCACCCTTTCACCATGGAAGATCTCATCACATACTCACTTTCAAGACTCTCTCAAGAAGGGACACATACTCACAACCTCAATGCAAACAACTTTGATGTTGGAACTCCATTGATTTGGTGGATAGATTTCAAGTTGGGAAAATCAAAAAACTCTAAAGCTTCATCCATGGAGACGCTCACGGGAGAGGAGAAGAGAGGGAGGAGAGAGAAAATGAGAGAAAAGTGGGTCATGAGCCACTTAAGTCACTCCAATCCCTAGGTGGGTCCCACACTCGATTTAACTTTAATCAATCACTAATTTCAACCACAAATTCATAACCTACGTATTTTTCTGGTTCATGTCATATTTTTGTTTCCTAAAAATATTGATAAAATTTCACGCTTATCGGTACAATTATACCGCAATATTTTTACACCGGGAAAATCACTATTCATCAAAATTTTCAAAACTTGCCTATTCACTCGATTTTTCGTCCTGAATCCATTTCCGGCATTATTTTTATCATTTGAGGTCTTCTACTGAATTTTTCATGCCTCGGGTTACGTGTTTGGTAATTTACCATTTTGCCCTTTTCACACAGTTTGGCCTTAATTTCTGGATTTTCACTAACCCTTCCCTTTTAACCCACATTATAGCATATAATTTCATATTTAGATTTACGAGGTGTTATATGATTGATTTCTTGAACCCTAAAGGGGGATTTTGTGATTGATGTGTTTAGAGAGCTCAATTGGAAAAAGTTTGTACATGAATGTGTCTTAGAATAATGTATTAGCTATAAATGCAATGAAAATTTTTGGTGAAAAATATGATTGTGTAACTTAGAAAATTTTGAGGTGTCATGACGTTGAAATTTGAAAATGCATTGGGATTAGATTGGTGAGTTGTGGTATGATTATATGATGATATAATAGGATTGTGTGAGGTGTGGAGTAATTGGAATTGATGGAAATCCCTTGGAGGTCACCATGTTGAATTTTCGGCCATTGGGCAAAAGAGGGGAATTGGTGTTGTTGACATTGTTTGAATGATGTATCATGTATTAAATGGTATTTAGATGGGTTGTGTGGTGGTTGGAAAGTGGAAGAATCAATGAAAAATAATTGAGGGTGTTAAATGCCATAAAGGATCATAGAGTAAGATATTAGGCAAAACGTTGTTTAAAAGACGTAAAATGGAAAAACGGCACTTGGTGTAGCCTTTTGGCAACCTAAGGAAGTATAATAAAATGAGAAAGAGAATTTAGAAAAATAAATTGTGAAATAATCCTAAGAAGGCCGAACCTACAAGGGTGTAGGGGGTTTTGACATTTTTCGCGTTTTTATAGAATTTCCGTGTACTGACGGTTCGTACATGGTTATTGTAGGTTGTTGTACGTCGATTTGAACCCCGAACCGTGAGTCGGTGGATTGCCCTTGGTCCTGGACCAAGTGGTATTGAGGTAAGTGATCATGCTATATAATTGATAATTGCATGCATTCATATGAGTTTTAAGTAATTGGGAATGTCCTCTGTGTAGGCATTCTGTTGAGTAGCGAGCTCAGAGAGTATATTCTGTGGAGCTAAGTGAAGAGGCTCATTGAGGTAACCTCTTGGTACTGGGGCTTGTTCCCCTTGTGTGTTCCTCCATACCCGTTGAAGGTGATGGTAGGAAGTGTATATGAGTAGTGTAGAATAACATAATCATGCATGTAGTATGTATGTTGGTACTAGGTACCGGCGTTTCGGACTTCCACTGGATAGGTCTCCGAGAGGGAGTTCCAGTTGACCCAGGGTCGTGGTGTGTGATCCGGATAGGAGCACACTAGGAAGTCTCGGGTGTATGCGGACGGGAGGGGTACCTTGGTAGGATGTTCTAGGAACACGCCTTGGATGAGACCCATAGGCTTATATGCCGAGGACACTGCGTGGTATTGGTAGCTACCATTCCCGCTTCGTCGTATTTTGTATTCCTATATTCTCCAGCTTCTCTAAATCCCTTGCTTTATCCCATTTTGAAAAGTGGTTATTTTATATTATTTATATGCATCGAAGTGAGCCATTGGGCGGAGTTTTCTCCAGAACCTCTGGGTTACTGAGATATATTCGTATATCTCACCCCGTCTTGGGGGCTTTATTTCAGGAGGTAGCAGTGGTACGGGAGCGGCGGGCAAGAAGCCCGTAGGATGAGTCGTTGGAGGACTTGCACTTTTTGCATTTTGATGGCCATTTGGCCTAGGCTAGACTTAGGGCATGAACATTCCATATGTATGTAGCATGAGTTTCATAGTCATATTTGTTCATGTCATTTTGCCAAAGTCTAGTTAGTTGTATGTGTCATTTGAAGTTCATGTTTCAAGTTGTAAATTAAAGTTCATGTTTCAAGTTGTAATTAAAGTTATGAAGTTGTAAGTTGTAATATGTAAGTGAAATGTTGTAATTGTACAATGGATACATGATGTAATATGATGTAAGGGCTTTAGGCCTATTTTAGGATTATAATTATTTGTATGTTGAGAAATTGCATGTAAATGGACATTGGTGATTGAAACAAGTTAAGGATTTATAAAGTGAGCTATATGGTATAAATTGTGTAATAACTATAAACTGAGTTGGGTTGTAAGTGCCCCAAGACATTGTTGGTCCTTGTGTGTGCCACCCATTTGTTATTAGGTACATTTGAGGTATTCGAAAGCAATTACAAATTTGGGGATTTTAGGAAAAACAAAGGAAACTCTGGCGAATTTTCTGTAGAATTGGCAGAATTTAGACAAACTTCGGGAGAGCATATCTCCCTCCATAGAGGTTCGGTAGGGACGTTCCATACGCCATTTTAAAGCTTGAGATGCCCCTACATTGTGTTAAAATATGAGAAATTTCTGGGTTGCACGCAGCCCTGTAGAAACCTTCGAACACGGACTGTCCAGAACGCACCTGTGCAGGGGCTGTTTCTGGCGGTTTTTGGGAATTTTATTCCCGCTTCGTTTCTTGGTCAAATTAAGTGTATGATATATCAAATTAAAGCTTTAGGTGTCTAGTTCATGGTATAAAAATTTGAGAGCAATTGAGTTAGTTTTGTTTCTGCAGTAATTCGTGGAGTGAAGGATGTATGGAGCTGTTTTTGGATTGGTTGACAGTTTTGCTTGTCCAACTTCGAACGGCGATATCCCGAGCAAACTAGATCGGAATGACTCGTGTGATGGTTCATTGGAAAGATATTTAAGTAAGAAAAAATATAACTAAAAAGGAAGGACTGGTTTTGTGCGGTGTGTCCGCAGAAAAATAATAACCGAACCATGTTTGGATGGGTGGAAAACATAAAATCGAGAAATTAGCTAAGTGGGTTTATGGGAACCCCTTAGTGTCTTGTATTGAGTAAAATAAGATATACAAATAGTTTAAACAAGTATTCCGCAAGAGTTTACAGTTATGGTCATAGCTATTAATTATTACGTTTTTTATTGTTTTAAATACTCGCGTAATAACGGAAAAAGTTTATTCGCATTTTTATAAATGAATTGTTGTGATTGTAACTGCGCTTAATATCATAATTAATGTTAACAATACCGGTGTACAACAGGCTGTTACATATGCTATGATCGAGGAACGAGAACAACCAGGGGCGAAATGTATATGTTCCACCATGGAAGAATAGAAATCAACACCCAGGGTTCAGTTATAGTTATAATCATCAGTTGAATCCTCCACTGCATCCTCCACCGCATTCTTCACAACAAGGTGATACCTCTGCATGCGAGAAAGCTTTTGCCCAGTTATCTAAGACGACTACAGATTTTATTCACGGTTCAAATTCTTTCAGAGAAGAAACTTCTGCATTCATGCAAGAGACAAAAACATCATTCAGGAACCAGGAAGTATCTATCCAGAATTTGGAGACCCAAATTGGTTAGTTGTCCAGACAGATATTAGAGAAACCACAGGGGAAGTTCCCTGGTGATACAATGGTGAATCGAAAAGAGCATTGCAAATCCATTATTACAAGAAGTGGGCTTGTGCTTCAACCGGTTAAAAAGAAAGTGGAAGAAAAGAAAGAGGAAGAAGAAGTTGTTGTTGAAGATGATGAAGTTGAAAAGGATAAAAAAGAAAAAGTTAAGGAAGATAAGAAAGAAGATGAAGTACTTGTTGAAAACAATTCTTCACCCAAGAAGTTGATGAAGTGGGAGAAGAAGAAAATGGCTAACAAGCAAGACCAGCCAATTAATTTATCTCCACATGCCAAAGTTCCTTATCCTCAGAGGTTGAAGCAAGAAATTCAAAAACAGCATTATGCAAGGTTTCTGGATATTTTCAAGAAACTACAGATCAACATTCCATATGCTGAAGCCTTGAAAAACATGCCTTACTATGCAAAATTTATGAAGGATCTTTTGTCTAAGAAAAGGAAGTTGAAAGATGGTGAGACTGTGGCTTTAACAAAGGAATGTAGCACCCTGATTCAAAAGAAGCTTCCTCCAAAGTTAAAGGACCCAAGTAGTTTCAGCATTCCGATTGCTATTGGAGATGTGGAAGTAGGAAAAGCACTTTGTGACTTGGGGGCCAGTATAAATTTGATGCCATTATCTGTCTGCAGAGCTTTGGGGATTAACAAGCTGAAAACCACTAATGTTATCCTACATCTAGCAGATAGATCAATTAAAAGACCAGAAGGGGTGGTAGAAGATGTTCTGGTCAAGGTGGATAAATTCGTTTATCCTGTAGATTTTGTAATACTAGATATGGAAGAGGAGGATACTGAAAGTCCTCTACTCCTAGGGAGACCATTTTTAGCCACTGCAAGATCTCTGATTGACGTTGAACAAGGAAATTTGATGTTAAAGATGGATGAAGAAACAGTCACCTTTGATGTGTTTGATGCTATTAAACATCTCGTTGATGTGGAGGATTGTTTCAAAGTAGATGTCATACAGGAGGCTGTGGAAGAAGTGATAGAAGAGGAAAACTCTTCACTTGAGGAAGACAAATTCAAGGAGGAAACAAGTGTGGAATACTTTACAGAAGAACCGAAAGTAGAAGAGTTAGAAAAGAAAGTAGATGATATTCCTAAGGGAGCATCCAAGGTGGAACTTAAAGAACTTCCATCAAATCTCAAGTATGTGTTTCTTGGAGATGATCAAACATACCCAGCCATTATTAATGCATTGTTGTCTGAATGGGAGGAAGTAAAGTTGAATTAAGTGCTTAAAAAGAACAAGACAGCCATGGGATGGTCATTTCAGACCTCAAGGGTATCAACCCTTCTTTCTACACTCATAAAATATTGATGAAAGAGGAGGTAAAATCAGTAAGGCAACCACAGAAAATACTCAACCCTACTATGAAGGAGGTAGTGAGGAAGGAAGTGGTGAAGTTGCTTGATGCTGGAATGATCTATCCTATTTCAGACAATGCTTGGGTGAGTCCAGTGCAGACAGTGCCCAAGAAAGGAAGAATGACTGTTGTGAGGAATAAGAATAATGAATTAATTCCCACAAGAACAGTCACTGGCTGGAGAATGTGCATAGATTACCGGAGACTCAACTTAGCAACCCGGAAGGACCATTTCCCTATTTCATTCCTAGACCAAATGCTAGAGAGATTGGTAAGACATGCTTTCTACTGCTTTCTAGATGGATACTCAGGATACAACTAGATAGCTGTGGCTCCAGAGGATCAGGAGAAAACTGCTTTCACTTGCCCCTATGGAATCTTTACATACCGGAGGATGCCTTTCGGCTTATGCAATGCACCAATGACTTTTCAAAGGTGCATGCTTTCCATATTCTCTAACATGGTAGAAAAATGCATTGAAATTTTCATGGATGATTTTTCTGTATTTGGTCTTACTTTTGATGCCTGTCTAGAAAATTTAGATAGTGTTTTAAAAAGATGCAAAGATTGTAATCTTGTATTGAATTGGGAAAAGTGTCACTTCATGGTGACAAAAGGTATTGTTTTAGGACACAAGGTGTCTAGAAGAGGAATTGAAGTGGATAAAGCCAAAATCTCTGTTATTGAGAAACTTACCCCTCCCATAAATGTCAAAGGTGTGAGAAGTTTTCTTGGTCGCGCAGGTTTTTATAGACGCTTTTTAAAATATTTTTCAAAGATTGCAAAACCTTTATGCAAGTTGTTAGGGAAGGAACAAGAGTTTGTGTTTACTGATGAATGCCTCCATGCATTTAACATTCTGAAAGAAAAATTGATCACTACACCCATATTAATGGCACCTGATTTTTCGCCGCCTTTTGAGTTGATGTGTGATGCAAGTGATTATGCTGTGGGAGTGGTGCTAGGCTAAAGGAAAGACAAATTGTTGCATGTCATATACTATGCTAGTAAAATTCTTAATGATGCAAAGAAGAATTATGCTACTACAGAAAAGGAATTATTGGCTATTGTGTATGCATTTGACAAATTTAGGTCATATCTGCTAGGATCAAAAGTGATTGTTTCCACTGACCATGCAGCTTTAAAGTATTTGTTAACCAAGCAGGATGCTAAGTGCAGGTTACTCCGATGGATGTTACTTCTACAAGAGTTTGAAGTGGAAATCAAAGATAAAAAGGGAGTTGAAAACTTGGTAGTTGATCACTTATCCAAGATCACAGAGAAAAATCTACAAGAAGGACCAGAAGTAGTGATTAAAGAAGAGTTTCCCTATGAGCAAATACTGGCCATAAGCACTGTTTCCAAGTTGGTGCAGGATCACGTCTTGACAATTAATACTCCACCATGGTTTGCAGATTTTGCAAATCACAAGGCTGGAGCAATGCCTAAAGATTTCACATGGCAACAAAGAAAAAAATTTCTACATGATGTAAGGAGATATATTTGGGATGAACCATACCTCTTCTACAGGTGTTCAGATGGGGTAATCCGAAGATGTATTCCAGAGGAGGAACAACAAGATGTCTTATGGCACTGTCATGGTTCAGCCTACGGTGGACACTTTGCCGGTGAAAGAACTGCAGCAAAAGTTTTGATGAGTGGTTTCTATTGGCCAACATTGTACAAGGATGCAAGGAAGTATGTGGAAGCATGTGACAACTGCCAAAGAACTGGTAATATATCCAGGAGACATGAAATGCCATTGAACAATATACTGGAGGTGAAAATCTTTGATGTTTGGGGTATGGATTTCATGGGACCCTTTCCCTCTTCCTACTCCAATAAGTACAT